AGCTTTCTTCCTTTTCTCCTATATATATCTGATGCAAGCTAGCATATATGGAGAAACACGGAGACAACCATATATCAATATACACTTGCAGTGTTTTTGCATGTGCATGTGCTTTTGATCAATTAACATGAAGGGCGACGGAAGGTGCTTGAAACTCTTTCTTGCACTTTGGATCCTTTTCCTACAAAACGTAAAAGGAGGAGAAGTTGGCCACAGCCACAGCCACAGCCACAACCTCAGAGATGCTAAAGTGACAGTGAGGTGCATAGAGAGGGAAAGGCAAGCACTACTTGCATTCAAACGTGGCCTGGTGGATGTGTTCAATCAACTCTCAACTTGGGGTTCAGAAGCTGAAAAACAAGATTGTTGCAGATGGGAAGGAGTCTATTGTAGCAACCAAACTGGCCATGTGATTCAACTTGATCTTGGATATTATTCTCTCCAAGGTAAGATGATTAGTCCTAAACTGATTGAGTTGCAGCATTTACAATATTTGGACCTTACATATAATGATTTCAATGGGAGCCAAATTCCAGATTTCATTGGTTCTATAACCAATCTAAGGTACCTCAGTCTCAGTTTCTGTCAAATGGTTGGTCAAATTCCAAGTTCGTTTCAAAACCTCACGCAATTGCAACATCTCGACCTCAGCTATTATCAGCTTCAAGCAGAAAATCTCAATTGGCTTCCTGCTATTTCTTCTTTAACGTATTTGGACCTAAGCGGAAACTTCAATGGGAGCCAAATTCCTGATGTCATTGGTTCTCTAACCAATCTAAGAAACCTCCGTCTCTGTTCCTGTCATTTCATTGGTCCAATTCCAAGTTCGTTTGGAAACCTCACGCAATTGCAAAATCTCGACCTCAGCTATAATCAACTTCAACCAGAAAATCTCAATTGCCTCCCTGCTCTTTCTTCTTTAACGGATTTGGTCCTAAGCGGAAACTTCAATGGGAGCCAAATTCCTGATGTCATTGGTTCTCTAACCAATCTAAGAAACCTCCGTCTCAGTTCCTGTAATTTCATTGGTCCAATTCCAAGTTCGTTTGGAAACCTCATGCAATTGCAAAATCTCGACCTCAGCGGTAATCAGCTTCAACTAGAAAATCTCAATTGGCTCCCTGCTCTTTCTTCTTTAACGGATTTGGACCTAAGCGGAAACAATCTCAGTCTTCCTCCTCCTCCTACTCCAATTCTTTCCACTACTCTTTACAAAACAAATTCTTCTACATCTCTTGCGTATGTTTATCTCTCTGACAACCATCTCACTTCTTCAATATTTCTTTGGTTGTCCAACTACAGTACAAGCCTTTTTCATCTTGACCTCTCCAACAATAATCTAACTGGTTTCATTCCCGATTTCATTGGAAACATGAGCTCTCTTGTGTATCTGGATCTCTCTGATAACCAGATTGAAGGAGCGAATCCAAATTCGTTTGCAAGGCTGTGTAATTTGCGAAGATTGAGGCTTCAAAGAAATCATCTGAGTGGACAATTATCCAAGTTTGTTCAACTATTGCCTAGATGTGCTCAAAACTCATTAAGGTATCTGCACCTCTCTGAGAATGTTCTTAAGGGGTCATTAAACAATCTTACAAGCTTCTCATCTTTGAAATTCTTGTATCTTAGTGACAATCAATCAAGCGGAAAAATACCTGAAAGTATTGGGCAAATGTCGCAACTGGAGTACATCGATTTCAGCATGAACTCTTTGGAAGGGGTGGTTTCAGAAACTCATTTCTCAAAACTCTCCAACTTATCTTATTTGGATTTATCCTCTAACTCACTAGTTTTAAATTTCCATTATGATTGGGTTCCTCCCTTCCAGTTATATTACATAGTTTTGGGGTCTTGCAAGATGGGTCCACATTTCCCAAAATGGCTTCAAACTCAAAAGGATTCTTTCAAGCTGGATATTTCGAATGCTAGAATTTCTGATATCCTTCCAAGTTGGTTTTGGAGTAATTTTCGTAACGTGAGCGTTATTAATCTCTCACAGAATCTAATCAGAGGAATATTTACAAATTTGACAGTGGAGTTTCCAAATAACCCACAACTACATTTGAGTTCGAACCAAATAGAAGGTCCAATTCCCTCAACTCTATTACAAGCCTCCTATCTGGATCTTTCTAATAATAACATTTCAGGGTCACTTTCTTTCCTATGCGCAAGTGCAGATATGAGTTTAACATATCTTAATCTTTCAAGCAATAGTTTTGCTGGAGAACTTCCAGATTGCTGGAGCCATTTGGAGACAATATTCATGCTTGATTTGAGTAACAACGCTTTTTCTGGAAAAATTCCCACGACAATAGGCTCTTTATTTCAAATGCAAACTTTGAAATTAAGAAGCAACCGATTTTTTGGGGAATTGCCTTCATCGTTGAAGAACTGCGCAAGTTTAGAAGTTATTGATCTGGGAGATAATAAATTATCAGGACCAATACCTACATGGTTAGGCGTGAGCGTCAAGAATTTGGTTATCCTGATGCTTTCCACTAATCACTTCAATGGAAGCATGCCCTCGCAATTATGCCATCTAACAGACATTAAAATTATGGATTTCTCTATGAACATCATCTCTGGAAGCATACCCAAATGCCTCAACAATTTGACTACTCTGGCTCAAAAAGGAAATCCAAGTCTATCCAGCACACATACTTATTACTCAAATTGGGATGATACGTCAATTAATTATGAGGACGATGCAAGTTTCATATGGAAAGGAAGAATGCAGACATACAAAAGCACTTTGGGCCTTGTGAAGAGAATTGATCTCTCAAGAAATAGATTAACAGGGGAGATTCCAAGTGAAATCACTCATCTTGTTGGGTTGATTTCTTTAAACCTTTCGAGAAACCTGTTAACAGGTCAAATAACTCCAGAGATCGGAAACTTGCAGTCATTGGATTCACTTGATTTATCAAGAAACCAAATAGATGGAGGAATTCCGACCAGCCTTGCTCAGATAGATCGTCTTAGTTTCTTGGACTTGTCATATAACAACTTGTCTGGCAAAATACCAACAGGGACTCAGCTCCAAGGCTTTGATCCCTCTGTTTATGTTGGAAATCCTCAACTCTGTGGACCTCCTCTTAAAAAGATGTGTGCCGATCAAAATGAGAAAACTGACTTGAGCAATCAAGAGGATAAGGATGAGCTTATAACACTGGGATTTTACATCAGTATGGGGCTTGGCTTTGCTGCTGGATTTTGGGGAGTTTGTGGCACTTTGATATTCAACAGGTCATGGAGATACGCATACTTGAAGTTCTTGAATGGTTTAAATGATTGGCTTTATGTGAGGGTAGCTTTGATCAAGCGGCAACTAAAGCTAGCATATGCTTAATAGATAAGCTCGTGACGGTACTCTTTCTCTCTCATCATTAGTTTCATTTTATAATTATTTTGTTATTGCATTTTTTTCTTTTCTCCAAACTGTCGAGTATTAATTTGTTTACTTTGATATTTAGCTGCAGCATCTAAATTAGGAGAAAAGTAGCTGTAGCTGAATGCCTCCTTTCAGTTCAAGTGTTGAAGATTGCTAGTATGCGCATGCACAGGTATCTGGAGAAGAGTTTACGAGTTAATTTGGAGTGCTTAGTAGGAATAAATATGAGTTAAATAAGTGTTAATTACTTGTAAGAACAATTAATTCGGAGTTCTCCGATTAATGTTTTTTTTTTTTGTTTGTTGAGAGAAATAAACAGATCCATTTTAATCCAAACTCACTCCGATTAATGTATTAGTTCCAGCTATAGTGTTATTTTAATTAACTAAGCCAAAGCCAAAGCGGACTTGATTTCAAATTACAATGTGTGGCTCTGTTTTGGTCATCTATTTGCAACGTACAGCTTCTCCTTGTAAATATGTGGCTTTGTTTTGTGGCTCTGTTTTGGTCATCTATTTGCAACGTACAGCTTCTCCTTGTAAATGTGTGGCTCTGTTTTGGTCATTCTTTCCTTTCATAATTCAACATGTTGTTTTGGGCACATGGTAGAAGATGACTTTTTGTAAACAGACTTTTTTTATTTGGTCAGGCTTGCAATGCTCTATTTTGTGGATTTTAAGATTGTATTAGGCTTACTTGTGAGCTGCAATTTGCCTTGTACCAAAGTTTATGTATAAAATGTGTTCTAAATCTTGTGTGTGGAGTACAAGATTGAAGCTCTTCCTGGAAAAGCAATCACAAGCATTTTCTCTCTTTTCAATTTGTAGAAATGTTCAAGTTCTTGCCCATTACTTGCAGATATATAGTGTTGTGTAGCATAAAGGCTCCAACGTATGCAATTCCATCAAGGCCTGCAGGCCAATCACTGCTTTCTGTTGGATATTACAAACATTTGTAGAGCCATAATGAAAACTTGGTAGGCAAACCCAAATACTCGCATTGACCATTTGCTTAAACTTGATAGGCTAGCAAGGGGCTTGTAGCTCAAGTGGTTAAGAGCATCTATTCCTGCACTTGAGGTCCTAGATGTGATTCCCTCCTCCCCATATCGCTTGTAACAAAAAACAAACAAAAAACTTGATAGGCCAGTCCCAGATGAACCTGGTTTTCATAAACTTGTTGGTCAAAATACTCGCATTGACCATTTGCTTAAACTTGATAGGCTAGCAAGGGGCTTGTAGCTCAAGTGGTTAAGAGCGTCTATCCCTGCACTCGAGGTCTTAGATGTGATTCCCTCCTCCCCATATCGCTTGTAACAAAAAACTTGATAGGCCAGTCCCAGAGGAACCTGGTTTTCATAAACTTGTTGGTCAGCTTGATAGTGGCTTAATAGAAGTCCAAATTGGTTGGGAAAGTAATGTCCACCAATTTTAGCAGATACCCTTTTGGACAATGTTGAACAGAGCACTTAACTTGATTGTTAATGACTAGGGGCCCAGATAACAGAGAGAGAGAGAGAGAGAGAGAGAGAGAAGAGAGTTGAAGAAGAAAGACATAGTATTTTTAGAGAGATTTGTATATTGATCTTTTCATCATGAATGATTACAATAATGACTCTACTATATACAGAGTTAATGCTGGACTCTGTTATATACAGAGTTGAAGAAGAAACATTCGGATGATCCCCGTTCAATACATGGCCTTCCTCCTAAATGTCAATGTGCAATATTGAACTTTGGGTTACAGTAGCTTGAATTCCACCAACATCATGACATTGTATGACCTTTGTACTGATGGAGCCTGGAAGCAAATGATCGACAAACATCTAGATCCAAGAACAATCAAATGAGAACGACAAACATCTAGATCCAACTTCCCAGAACAAGCAAATGATCGACAAACATCTAGATCTATTTAATAATGCAGTCCTGCTTACCAAAGGTCCTAAAAATGAGGTCATGTGAGGTCCTCTTTAAAAACGGCCCTTAGATTAATCTAACGGCACATATCATTAATAATACTAACCCACACTCATACTCCTTGTTTTATTCAAACACCCCTTTTAATTTGAAAAAAGAAAAAAAGAAAGAGAAGGAGTACACGCACGTTCAAAAGCTTGTCTTCAGCTTCTCACGATCTTTTGGCAGCATCGCCTGCAACTTCTCTAACTCCCTTTCTCAATCTCGTCAAGCGTTTGAACGTAATGGCCAAATTTCATTGTAAATTAATTACGTGCCACAGCATGTCATGATGAAATAAACCCTTTTAATGGTTCCAGATATCTGTCTGGTCTTTCGTAATCTTTTCTATGATGATAGAATGCAGCAGGTTTCAATATTTTCTGCATGATACATTAACTTCTTCATTATCAATGTGATAATGTTATGTTCATTGCTTTAATGTGTGGCCAGAGGTTAACATTTTTGCATGTTCTCTGCAGGTATATGGGTACAATAGTCGGTATTAGTGATTTAGATCCACTGATATGGCCTGGTTCAAAGTGGAGGAATCTTCAGGTGGCTTAAGCTACTCTGAGCTTTTACCAAGTGATCTTGCTTTTTTGTTCCCTAATCAATATTATAATTAGAG